CTGTCCATCAATATGTAAGGAATTGGAAGGTGTGCATGTGTGGGATTATCCTGTTGTTTGTTAATGTAAATTTATTTATTTTAATGATGTGAGAGGAATGTATTGCATTTTAGAGACACACACTTTTATTTCTCACTGCCTCAGTGTGTGCCTGCTTTTAAGAAGTTCACACACAGGTCTTGCTCAGTGATATATCAGCACATTTTGATTTATTTTTCTGTAAACAACTGTAGTATTAGAAACATGGTGTTAGTCACGTCTCTTAATGCACTACTGGAAAGTGTTCAAATACTATGGCGGTGAGGATGGTATAAGAACCTATAAAGAATGGAATAGAACATATTACTTATTGTGTACCTATCTCCAACACTGAATAAACCTCATTTTATTTTCCACAGGGTTAAAAGGTTCCATGTCATAATTCAGGATTAAAGGAAAAACACTTAACTTTAATATGTGCTAGATATTGGAGATTTTAAACAAATCTAAAAGTGTATTTATATTACTGATTTGAGATTGTGGGGAGTTACACATGCACATCAAGGAATGACTCTTCAATATTAATTTAAAGAATGTCTCTCCCATCCTCTGACATCAGAAAAGAACAGTTTTTAACTTCTGTACTGTTACCAAAGATGTTTGTTTTATTGTTATAGAAAGTTGCCTTGAGATTCATTACTTGAAAAGGGCCATAAATGTGCAGTTAAATGACACAGACTGATGAGTACATTGACTAATGTCTCAGTTCAGAAATTATAATCTTTGTTTTTATAGGGAATGGGGAATATAGAGTTTGTGTGGATTACCAGCAAAATACAGAACTGATTGGTGGAGAAGTAATGCCATATTATTTGTTGCTCTCCTGTAAGAAATTCAAAGAATGGAGACTAACAAATGTTACATAGGTTTTTGGGGGGCATCCTGTTTTATATTGTTTTGTTTTTAAAAGGAGTGAGTCACCTGCATTACCAGCAGGAGTTAAAGTAAGGGGGAGTACAGCTCTCCCTCTTCTGCTAAAAGGAGAATGGGAGCACACGCCCTCCTTCTTGTCCTTCTCCATGGCTTGGAGAGCTTAGCTCCCCAAGAGCTTGTCGTCCTTGGCTATGGGATCCGCTGTCATCACACAGAAGAATTTGAACTGGGAGCAGGAGGAAGGGGTTGTATCTGGCTGGGGAGTTTCTGGAATCATTAAATGGAGCAGTACTGCCTGATGTGGCAAGCAGAGGTGTCTCAGCTGGGAGTCCCCATCATATCTCCTCTAAAGTAAGTTCTGTTCTTCCACTAGCTCCCTTTCCTGCCAAGATGCCTTTAAGTTGACTGCAAGAAGGGGGGAAGGGAGAGGAAAGCACTCTCATTTTTTCTTCTTTATGATAAGCATGAAGGGGTTTCTGCTTGTGTGTGTTTTCCCTGCCTCCCACCCTCCATTAGAAATTTAGATCTATTCTACCTTGAAAGACTCTACTGAACTAGTGAAATTATGATGGGTCAAGAAGAGGTTGAAAACTGAATAATTGTGAGGGGAGAGGATTTAAATCAATTTTTTAAAAACTTTTTTAGTTAACAGCTATTTAATTCCAGTGTGTACTGAGCATTTGGGATAAATGATGTTTTTGTTAAAATGTCATCAAATTCAACCTTTGGTTTATTGTGAGCTCTCTCATCCTTTAATCAGTACTGTAAAACACACACCCCAGGAAAGTCTTCCAGCAACAACAGGGAAGATCAGACTTAACATTTCTGATATAGCTAAGACCAAAGGGAGGGGCAGGAAAAATCAAACTTTTCATAAAGAAGCAAAAAAGGGAAGAACCCAACTTTTAAATTTTTTTGCACAAAGTTAACTTTATTTCAAGGTAATCTAATGTACGTATTTAGTGTGTCTAATGTATAGTACCCTTACTCTGAAAAAAAGAAAAAAAAATGGAAAAGACTTATTATATAAAGTAATCCTTTTCCCTGTAGATGCAGAAGAAAGTCCCCTAAAAGAGGGTCTATAAAACTTTTTAAAGTGGACATTATACTTGATCAGCTCAGTCATTTTGGAAATGTATATAATCAATCATTATTTTATCGATATTTGTGCCATCTCTGCTAGGAACCAAAATCTCCTTCCTAAAAGGTTACAGTTTACTAAAATCTGTTCTTAAACATAATGCTTTTGTATTTAAATATTGTCTCTGATTTTGTTTGTCAGCTATACAGTAAGCTCCCCACAGATCATCTGTTCCTGAGAAAGAGCAATGTTGTGTTGGTTGGAAAGCTGACATTTGTATGGTGTTCTTAATTTATTATGTATTTCATGGCTATAGATTGGTTAATGTCAATAGTATCTATCTTAAAGGTCATATTCTGGGATTGGTTTTGTTCATGACATTTATATGTGCCCATTTTAATTTCATATTGGAAAAACTAAATCAGCAGATGTAAAATACATTGCATATTATAGTGTTTCTGAAATACATCAAAACAAATCTGCCAAGAAATACTATTGAGATAACAATTTTAAATGTCAGTGTACAGTAACTCCTCACTTAATGTAGTTATGTTCCTGAAAAATGCAACTTTAAGTGAAACGATGTTAAGCGAATCCAATTTCTCCATAAGAATGAATGTAAATGGGGGGGTTAGGTTCCAGGGAAAATTTTTTTTTGCCATATAGTACAGTACTAAAGTTGGGAGGTGCCCCTGCCTTACCCCACACAGGCACAGCCCACTGGCACTGGAGACAATGAGGCAGGCAAGGAGGCTGAAGGTGCTATAGGCTAGGAGAAGCACGGTGCGCAGGGGCGGGGGCTCAACCCTCGGCCCACCCACTCCACCCCTTCCCCTAAGCCCCCACCCTTAACCCACCTCTTCTTCCCTCCTTTATCCCCCTTTACTCCGCACGCCGCGTCCTCGCGCCTCCCCCCTCCTTCCCCTGCCTCCTGCCCCCGGCAATAAGCTGGCTTGCGACGTTCAAGGGGCAGGCGGGTGGGGAGGATCGAGGACTCGGCACGCAGCCTCTCCCCTCCCTCCCCTGTCTCCTGCCCGCAGCAATCAGCTGGTTTGTGGCGTTCAGGAGGGAGGGGGACCCTGTGCGCTGAGTCCTCGCTCCTCCCTCCTGCCCCCTGAATGTCACAAGCCAGCTGATTGCTGGGGGCAGGAGGAGGGGGAAGGAGCTGATCTGCGGGGTCTGCCCGTAGGCGGGAGGGGCTGTGGGGGGAGTCGTAGGGGAGCTGATAGGGGAGCTGCTAGCTGTGGACAAAGCAGGCAGCCAAACGACGTTCTAGCAAAGCATTGCACAACTTTAAATGGAGCATGTTCTGTAATTGAGCAGGGACGTAAGATTGAAACAACGTTAAGCGAGAGGACATTAAGTGGGGAGTTACTGTATTTGGGGGGAAACAGCAAGTGTATTCAGCACATTATTCAGTCTAAGCAGCATTCTCACTGATTTTTATAGTTTGACAATTGCTGTTTTTAAAAAATTACATATTTTAGTGCTCATTAAAGTTTCTGGATTGACATCCTCCATATTGAAGACCACCTTAAAGGTAAGTTAAAAACAGCATTTGTATAAGCTTTCCCACACTGCCAATGTGCCTCAGTACTTCTGTGGAGGAACCAGACCTAGGTGGGTAGTTCAGTCTCTACACCAGGGATCGGCAACCTTTGGCACACGGCCCGCCAGGGTAAGCACTCTGGGGGGCGGGGCCAAACCTGCCGCGTCCACAGGTTCGGCCGATCGTGGCTCCCACTGGCCGTGGTTTACCGCTCCAGGCCAATGGGGGCTGCGGGAAGCGGCACGGGCTGAGTGGGAGCCGGGATCGGCCGAACCTGCAGACGCAGCTGGTAAACAAACCAGCCCGGCCTGCCAGGGGGCTTGCCAAAGGTTGCCGATCCCTGCTCTATACTTTGGCCTGTATACTTAAGGGATTAAATCTTGACCCCCTTGAAGTCAATGGTAAAACTTCCACTGACTTCAGTTGGTCCATGATTTCACCCAGAAGGCCAACACTGTTGCCAATCAATACCATGTGTGATGGTGTATTTTTGTCACCTGAATACTTATATGCTGGGAACTAGACTGAGGCCATAGGCGTGCGCACGGGGTGTGCCAGGTGTGCCCAAGTGCATCCTAATACCTGCGGGCCGGATCTGGCACCTCAGGGCTTTGGATCTGGCCTGTGGGATTTGCCCCCCGTGGTGCCGCAGGCCCCGTGGTGCCGCAGGCCCCGCGCCGCTCTCAGAAGCGGCCGGCACAGCACCACATCCCTGGGGCCCCGGGGGCAGAGGGTTCCATGCGTTGCTCCAGGCACCGCCCTCCGCAGCTCCCATTGGCTGGGAACGGGGAACCGCGGCCAATGGGAGCTTCGGGGGAGGTACCTGGAGGCGTGGCAAGGGCAGCGCGCGGAGCCCTGTGCCCTCCCCCACCCCCCATGGGCCGCTCAGGGATGTGGTGAGCAGCACGGCATGGGGCCAGGGCAGGCAGGCAGGGAACGCGCTGCCGCAGTCAAGCGGCACTGGGCTGGAGCCTGAACCCCTCCTGTCCCCCGCCCCCCAACTCCCTGCCCCGAGCCCCCTGCCTGCATCTCGCACCCCTCCTGCACCCCAACCCCCTGCCCTGAACCCTCTGCCTGCACCCCGTACCCCTCCTGCACCCCAACTCCCTGCCCCGAGCCCCCTGCCGCACCCGTCCTGCACCCCAACCCCCTGCCCTGAGCCCCCTCCTGCACCCCGCACCTCTCCTGCACCCCGCACCCCTCCTGTGCCTCAATCCCTTGCCCTGAGCCCCTTCCTGCACACTGCATCCCCTCCCACACCCCCTCCCACACCCCCACCTTTATGATGTTCGCCTTTAAAAAAAAAAATTCCCTGGGTGCACACCCTAATGAAATGTGCTGTGCACGCCTATGACTGAGGCTACCAATTATGAGTGGCTGTTAGAGACATAATTCATATGTTTTGTTTTTTCCCATAGGACTCTGAAATAAGTACAGTGACTGGCTTTTCACAGACTGATGGCTGATCGAGTGCTTGTGATTGGCAGTGGAGGCAGAGAGCACGCTCTAGCCTGGAAATTGGCACAATCTCCACATGTAAAACAAGTGCTAGTTGCTCCAGGAAATGCAGGAACAGCTGATAATGGAAAAATTTCAAATTCAGGTAATAGAAAGCAAATAAATGATATTTCAAGTTGTGCACGTATATAGATGTGTGAATATAAACAAAAACTGTTCAATATTATATGTTGAATCAGTAGAAATTAACAGTGTGTCTTATTCTTTTCCACAAATTATACCACATGCAAATAATTTTTGCTGTCTGTTTTTTTTGAATGGTCAGATTATCTGATAAAACACTTACTCCTGGGGGCATTCTGTGCATGCACAGCATTTATGTCCCCTGCAAATTTCTTTGCTTCCCTGCAGAAAAATGGCTTTCTGACAGGGAAGCAAAGGGAAGGCACTAGAGCGGTCATGCAACCCTGCCCAGCAGTATGTTTCAGGTGCCTAGAGCAGCTGGCAGAGAGGTAAATCACTGTGGGGCAGGAGACGGGACTGGGGAAGACCTGGCTGGTGGCTCCTACCCTCTGCCGGGCTCAGCTGTTAGTCACAGCTGGGCTGGGGAGGATGGGACTTCCTCTTCCCCTGTACGGCATCTGGGGCTGGGTCAGACCCCCCCCCCCCCCGATTTCTCCCCTGGTTGCAGAAAATTTTGCAAAACTCCCCCCACCCACCCACCCTCCTCCGCTTCCTGCACTTATCGCTCCTCAGCTGCATGGGGACAAATAGATTCCTCACAAGGCATATTAATACAGAACTTTGTGTAATTCATTTAAATGACAATACAGAATTGTATTTCCTGCACCTGTCAGAAGCAGTGCAAAGACTTGGGGGAGTCAGGGGTAATGGAAGAGCTGAGGGAGAGGGAAGGAGCATAGCGGTGTGGGTGGGAGGTTTTGCTTTGAGGGGGGGATTATTAGGGTGTTGGGAAGCCTCCCCCATGCAGATCCTGGCTGACCCCAAGCCTCTCCCATTCAGTCAGGCATATCTACCCCTGTCCCCACACCCCTCATCTCCATGGGTCTCTGCAGCCCCTCTCCACTGTCCCCAGGCTCAACACTGTCACCCACTAGCTCCTGAGCCCATGCACCAGTCTGACCCCCGAGTAGCCATTCTGAACCGCAGTCTGTGGCCCCCCCGCAGCCCTGTGTGCCCCACTCTGTCCTAACCTGGCTCTGCGAACAGGGTGCTGTGATGAACTCTTACTCCTGGGGGAATTCTACAGCACTGGGTATAGAATTTTGTATTTTCCTGCATAAAATACATTTTGCCTAAGAAGTGCTGCAGTTCCGTCTTCCGCCCACCAGAGGCAGCTCTGGTGCTAGAACGCCTTTTTATTTTTAAAAAGAACAGGAGTACTTGTGGCACCTTAGAGACTAACAAATTTGTTAGTCTCTAAGGCCTGGTCTACACTAACCCCCCCACTTCGGACTAAGGTACGCAAATTCAGCTACGTTAATAACGTAGCTGAATTCGAAGTACCTTAGTCCGAACTTACCGCGGTCCAGACGCGGCAGGAAGGCTCCCCCGTCGATGCTGCGTACTCCGCTCGCCGAGCTGGAGTACCAGCGTTGACGGCGAGCACTTCTGGGATCGATCCGGGATCGATTTATCGCGTCTTAACCAGACGCGATAAATTGAACTCAGAACATCGATTGCTTACATCCGGACCCGGATGTAAGTGTAGACGTACCCTAAGGTGCCACGAGTACTCCTGTTCTTTTTGTGGATACAGACTAACACGGCTGCTACTCTGAACCCTTTTTATTTTTAAAATGTGCTAGTCCATTTGTATAAACATGTTTTTAAAATGTTTACTTGGGCTACCCAAAATAAACATAGCGTAATTAATATTTAATGACTGTATATTTATCAGATATTGTGCATAACTTTCAGTTATCTATTCTGGACTCCATTTTTAGTTCTATTTCAGTTTTGATAACGTCTGTAAGGGCTTAACACCCTTTAAGTTGTTCAGCTCTCCTTTTGCCTATAATATCCTATTCCAACACTGTATTGTCACTGTTTGGGGGTGGAATTATAACCCCCTTTGTCTTTGATTCAGTGTACAAGTGTTTTATACTTGTAACTTAATTATATATCTTTATTCTTTTCAGCTGTGTTAGTCAGCAATCATACTATCCTTGCCCAGTTCTGCAAAGACCATAACATTGGACTTGTGGTAGTTGGACCAGAGGCACACTTGGGAGCTGGTAAGGTTAGAATAAATTCTCTTGTTAAATTCAAGGCATTTGGCTTTTTCTATCTTAAAAGAAAAATAATCATATTGAAGTTTTAAACTGTATTCTATCCTTAATTTAACTGAAGTGTAAGAATATTTTAGGTTTTTCTCTATACTGTACATGTAAGATTATTTTATGTCTAATTTTTGCTTCATAGCTGTGTACGTTAGACATCATGTGGGAAATGTGCAGTAACTGAATGATCTCACTACAAGGCTTTGTAAAATAATATTAAAAGTCTCTTGAAACCAAATGATGAAACAGGTAGCTTAATCCATTTGTAAAATAACATTTTGAGCATTAAACTGTTCACTATAGCAAAGGATGTAGCAGGCTGCTTGGATGGTGCTTTGGGAGGTACTTAAGAACATAAAAACAGCCCTACTGGGTCAGACCAATGATCCATCTAGCCCAGTATCCTGTCTTCTGACAGGGGCCAATGTCAGGTGCTTCAGAGGGAATGAACAGAACAGGTAATTAACAAGTGATCCATCTCCTGTCTCCCATTCCCAGCTTTTGGCAAACAGAGGGGTAAGGACACCATCCCTGCCCTCCTTGGCTAATAGCCCTTGATAGAATCGATCCTCCATGAACGTATCTAGTTCTTTTTTGCCTCTATATAAAACCACATCTTGAATTCTGCATGCAGATCTGGTTGCTCCATCTCAAAAAGGATATATTGGAATTGGAGAAAGTACAGAAAAGGGGAACAAAAATGATTAGGGACTTTTCAGCTTGGAAAAGAGACTACTAAGGGGGGATATGATAGTAGTCTATAAAATCACGACTCGTATGGAGAAAGTAAATAAGGAAGTGTTATTTACTCCTCATAACACAAGAACTAGGGGGCACCAAATGAAATGTAGGCTTCCATGCTAACAGCGCCCTGAATATTTTCAAATGAGGGATGAGAACAAAAATAAAATGGTAATAAAGCACACAAACCCATCAATAATGTAAAGATGTTATAGAATAACGGCCTTCACCAAACAAGGACACTCCACTAGAGAAGTAGATTGCATTATGGAATGGGTCACCCAAATACCCTGAGAGAACCTGCTTCAATTCAGAAGAAAAGAACCCTCCAACACACCCTCCTAGTTGTCACCTACCACCCCACAATGGCACACACAGGGAGTATCATTAAACAATTACGGCTTATACTTGATGGGGATCACATCCTGAAAGAAATCTTTCCTGAACCCCCTCTTCTGGCCTTCAAACAACCCCCCAACCTTTCCAAGCTCATTGTCAAAAGCAAGCTCCCCACAGATCAGGACACTCCAACTCAAAGCAGCACCAGACCCTGGCATAACAACAGATGCAAAACCTGCAGATATAGCTCCACTGCTACGATGATCAACTCCCAGCACAACGCTTCTTTCAAGATCCATGGGTCCTACACATGCCTCTCACAATATGTAATGTACCTTATCCAGCGCACTAAATGCCCCAATAACAACTGAGTGGGTGAAACAAGACCGTCACTATGTCTTGAATTCACACAGAAAAATGACAAAAGACAAAAAGACCGCGTCACCTGTGGGTGAACACTTTTCATGAAATGATCACTCCATATCTGACCTCTCAGTTCTCATCCTTAAAGGAAACCTGCACAACACCTTCAAAAGTTGAGCCTGGGAGCTTAAATTCATAACATTGCTAGACACTAAAAATTATGGTCTTAATAAAGAAACTGGATTTATGGCTTATTACAACAATGTATAACCCATTAACCCCCCTTTTTTTGTCCTATGACCGGAGAGTTGTTAACAGGCCACTTCACCTTGAATGGTCTCTTAGAATATGTGTTAACTACTTATGCTAAACAATCTGTCCCACCTTGTATTTACTTCTGACACTCTTGAATACCTTTCCCAGACCCGAAGAAGAGCTCTGTATAAGCTCGAAAGCTTGTCTCTCTCTCTCCAGCAGAAGTTGGTCCAATAAAAGATGTTACCTCACCCACCTTTTTTCTATTATAGCAGTGGTTTTCAACCTTTTTTTCATTTGTGGACGTCTAAAACATTTTGAATGGAGGTATGGACCCCTTTGGAAATATTAGACACAGTCTGCAGACCCACAGGGGTCTGCGGACCATAGGTTGAAAACCACGGTCTTATAGAATAAAAAGGCCATCTTAGGTAGACATTTGAATATTTGAGTGCATTTATCTTTTGGTACTTTTCAATTACTAGGAATTGTGGATGACTTGATGTCAGCTGGAGTTAGATGTTTTGGTCCCTCAGCCAAGGCAACTCAGCTAGAGACCAATACAAGCTTTGCCAAAGCCTTTCTGGATTGTCATAGGATCCCAACAGCAAGATGGAAAGCATTTGCCAATCCTCAAGAAGCTTGTAGCTTTATTACCAGGTAAACCATCCGTCACTTGAAGCTTATTCACTTTTTCAAGTATCTTGTATATTTGGTCTTACCCATGGGTGGTGAGTATAATAGGCCAGGGAAGGCTAAACCTCCCCTGGCAGAGCCGCTGCGGCGGGACAGTAGGTTGCGGGTTTTTGCTTATTATGTGCTACGCAGGTTCCAGGGCAGCTGAGGCGGCGGTATCTGCTATTCAGTTTCCTGGGTTCATCAGTAATCTCCCTGGACTCCAGAGAGATTACTGAAGAACCCTGGAAGCTGAGTAGCAGATACTGCCTCCTCAGCTGCCCCGAACCTGCATAGCACATATAAAAAGCTCAGCATTCATCTGCTGGGCGTCTGGGGGTCTCGGGAGGCGAGGCGCACTGCCTTTCCCATTCTCCAGCTCGGGTTGGTCATCCAGCACAGCGAGGCCAGCCCGGGGCTCCTCCGTTGGCGACGGGAGTGGATTGGGGTTCCGCTAGCCCGGGGCTTCTCCGGCCACAGGAGGAGGGGCGCAGGGCACCTGCCATGCATTGAGTCCACAAATTGTGTTTTCTCTTATGTCATGTATTACATGTGGTAGTATCAATGAGAACAGGCATTTAAAAATAAAATCTTTCTTCTTACTAATTTTACCCAAACAAGTTCTACTACACTATTTTCTATTACAGTTATGCAAAGGAACTTTGATATGTAAACCATAAAAGAACCTACAACATAAAGAAGAAAAGCAATCCCAGATTGGCATGCCATGCACTGCAGAATATGAGCTTTTTGTGCTTGCTCCTGCTCCTAATTGAAGTCAAGAATTGGGCTTTGTGTTAGTGGATTAAAATATGAAAAAGAAAACGTGCGATATCCGAAAATGTGTGTCTGTTTGCATGCTGGTGTTCTGAATAATCTGTTCAAATATTCCATTTAGTTTTGCTATCCACAGGGCTGGCTCCAGGCACCAGCTCAGCAAGCAGGTGCTTGGGGCGGCGAAGGGGAAGGGGCGGCACGTCCGGTTCTTCGGCTGCAGGTCCCTCTCGGAGGGAAGGACCTGCCACCAAATAAGAAAGCGGCGTGGTGGAGCTGCCGCCAAAGTACCGCTGATCGCGATTGCGGCTTTTTATTTTATTTTATTATTTTTCCGCCGCTTGGGGCGGCAAAAACCCTGGAGCCGGCCCTGGCTATCCAATATCTGAGGGAGGAGGAAAGATGTATAAAATGTGGTTAAGCTATCTTTCGGAATTGGATAATGAATCATTTTATGCTCAAAGAATACATGCTGTAATGTTGAGTAAAATACACCATATTCCTCATGTAACAAAGTAGCTGAATCCCTGCTTTAAGTGCAAAACTCAGCATTAATTATGACTGTGACCTGCACAGTGAGCGAATGTCAGAGCCCGCACTAGTTCTCAGGAGTTCCTGGTTGCCAGTCCTGTGCTTGGGCCACAAGACCACATTAAGTCTATCTGAAAATATGACATGTAAGATTGGCACAAGCGGGTACATTTTAATGTATAATTCCTCAGAAAAAGGGGAAAATTTTCTAAGTGTTCAACTTAGAAATTTACCTTTTAGAGGATGCATTGGAGATGTCTGATCCTGACTCTAATGTGCCCTGCCATCACTTATAGCACAGACTTTCCTGCACTGGTTATAAAGGCTAGTGGCCAAGCTGCTAGAAAAGAAATAATTATTGCAGCCAGCAAAGAGGAAGCCTGCAGAGCTGTGCAAGAGATTTTGCAGGTAAGCTACCCTTTGTTTAACTACTGTGAGGTTTGATTCTCGTTGCCTGGTGACCTGGAAGAAATGAATTTGAGGATTTCACTCTGTTCTCTAGCCCAAGCAGACAAGTGTTTTTCATCACAAAACCCACCACTTTGTTGGGCTGAGAGCTGAATGGACCTTGAAACTGAATTATTTTCTTAACCTAAGGAGGTTCCCTCCAGCTCAGGGCTGGTGTACTGGGAAGCTTACTCTGCTGCTGTCTATGCTGTACCTGTTCTCTGGGTAAACGGAAGGCTTCAGTCACCAAAACTGTCTGTTTCTTGTGACTGTGGGCCATTTTCTTGATGCCTTGCCCAGGCACATATCTGGGCAGAGTTCCTCTGGGTGGCATCTATTGATTCCTTTGACCCTTTCTCATGGCAATGGGTGTTGACCAGTGTTCTCTGCTCAGTTTCCCCCTCTAGATCCCTCATTTTGTATCTGTGATCTTCACCCCTATTTTTTTGTCCCGTATGTAATCAATTAAGTTCTGGGTTCTGTGGTGCCTCTCTGATCTGAGGGGGGTGGTCTTTTCATTGCTTTGGTTGTCTCTGCCCAGAATCCCAGGATTAACATAAGCTGGCTCTTTTCATATACACCTCTAC